GAATTGGGTCCATTAGAGACCTGAAGTTAAGTTTTGGTCACCAAATGAGCCAATAGGTAGCTACCTTAATTGTCCTTTAACGTTGGATTTAACGTAAATAAATAATGCGCGCCGCAAAGGCACACCCCTAGAAATTACCCGTATGCGGACTAAGCTGCAAATCAAATGGCTAAATATGATTTGGCATTTGAAATTTAAAGTGCTACTAAAACTAATTAAGTAAACGTGTTGTTAGAGAATCTCCTATTATCTCTCTTTCTCTGTAGGCAAAATACCTATGTGGACTCTTAACTAAGTACCCGTTTCAAAAGGCCCATGAAACTACTTACTAAATTAATTTGTTTCCGACTGACAAAATGGAGTACTTTCTAGCCTACTTGTTTTCTTAAGTAACCAAGCTACTGGGCAGAAAAATAAGCAAAAGTCAGCAAAGGAAACAGAAGATGAACCGACTTTGAAAGTTTCCTGTACAAATTGTACGCTAAATAACTTCATTGTTGACAAATTACTGGGGGCATGAAGATGTACGTAAAAATACACAAGTGTGGAAAACTCCACCCTAGCAGTAGAAACATTATCAGATCACAATAAGATATGCGAAATATGCCAAATTTCAAAATTATAGAAGCATTTAAAAAGGGAGGTGAACATAAAATTGCTGTCTCCAGATAAATATTTTTATTAACTGATACAGCCTGGTATTGTCTTATTGGAATGCGGGCTTTCGAATTTGAGCCGCCACCCATTATGACATCCGTCTGCGTGGGAATTATCCCTCTTGTATACCGCCAGACCTATGATGCCGACAGTTGCACTTAGCGTCTGAATGTGATATTTATGATCCTGCCGTATTACTTTTTTACGTTTACTTCAACAGATGCCTAAACATTGAGAAAAGAACATGGCTGCGATTGACATGTCGCACTTAGGTGTCAGGTGTAGAATATGGTGCCATTTCCGGGTTTCCTTTCGACAAGCTGTAGTTCAGTTTATAACAAAACCATGAGGTGTAACTAATTCTGTTAGCAAATGAAGCAGGTGAAGCGATCTGTCTTCAGAAGACATAGTTGAATGGTGATATCGATTTGCAAGCCTGTACTCCTTTGCTGTTTTTAAAATGACAGAAAATCTGCATTAGGCAACATTGCTGGACAAATGAGTAATTTTGTCAATCAGAACTTCGGCGAAAACTGTAAGCTTTTAATTTCGTACTTTGGTGAGCTGACTGATGTTATTGTTGTTACATGCGACTCCTGTTTGTCAAATAATTGCAAAGGCATTATATTTGTTAGCATTTATACTATGCTCTCGACCTGCGAAGATGCTCGAGCACGATTTTTCGATTTTCTTTCACAAAAGCTTGCTTTATTGGCTTGTGGGCATCTCTTCCTATTTGGCGATTTTAACCATGCAAGCCTGCGCCCGCTTATAGTTTTTCTGGCTTTGGGGAGTTTGTTTCCTTTAATACTCGTGCCTACGCCTCTCCTGCTCATAATTTGATTAACCATCCTAAGCTTTTTAGGTTAAAAAAGGGCTCCGTTGTCTGGTTCATATTATTCTCTTATCAGGCCTCCCTATTATCTCCTCCACTTCTAAGCACGCGCTATTAAACAAGCTCTTGAGGACAACTATGGCTTGCGACACTCAAAAAACACTTGTTCTTTTCAAAGTTCTTGTCAAAGAGAATCGGACTTTAACTAGTATTAGGCTTCCTTTGCCTAAACTGCCGAATGTCGAATGACGTTTCACCTACATTTTAAATGAAATGTTTGATAGCTTGACACTACCCAATTAGTTTAATCACCGTTCAAATGATTTTTGCCACCGCTGAATGTCTGCCGTCACGTGCCCCTGTTTTTAATAGAGAATCATCCTCCAAAAGTCTGCGATTCAACAGCTGAACGGCCGGTTGGTGTCTTAACATTTCTACTTTCGTTGTAGATGGTACCTTTTTTCATGAGCATGTCCTTTATGGAGCCAAAGGTAACGGCTGCTGGACTTTCCGCAAGAAGAATTTTATTTCTTAAAAATCAACTTAGTTTTGGTCTTAAATCTTTACTTTCAATAACATGTTTGTCTGCATTTCTGATGCCTCAGACGCCATTAAACCATTGTCCTCCAGTTTCTCGGACCCTTCAGAATTTGCATACAAATTCACACGCAGTACCTTGGATTCTACTGCTCCTGTAGTTCGCTCTGCGCTAAGAGAGCTTGGAAGGAGTAACTGTGCTTATGCATGTGCATTTCTCGACTAATTCTCCACTTTTAAAATTCTTTTACGCCACTTCCTTAGCAAAACACCCCAATGCACAATCTCCTGGCTGAACTGTTTGAACCGTTTTTTTCCTACCACACTCAGTCTACAGAACGGGAATCTCTCTCTCTTGACTTATAAAACGACCGCAGGCGATAGGTCAGGCAGACATTACAAACGCATGAAACGTACCCGCACGCCACCCTCAGGCAGGGGCTTCAATAGATTTACTGGACTTTGAAGGACGAAGTTTTCATCATCCCAATCCACACTGATGACAGATACCGAACAAGGAAAGGGATCCTGCCGTGATTGTTTGG